AACGACAGCAGGGAGTTCGTACCCTTCTTTTATGCGCGCAACTGCAATTGCTTGATCCAAAGGAATACCGAAAACTAATTTTGAGACATTAGGTCGTATTTTATTGGTTTTTTTTTTAATATCATCTTTGCCAAATATGCTGCCAAAGAAAGCCATACGCGAACTTTTCTTTCAGAGATAGTCTAAAGCCAGGTAGTTTTTAAAATTGATTACTAACTGACCTGTCACGTGACTCGCATAAAATACTACAAGCCTTTTTTCAGCAAAATGTGAAACGAATCCGAGTAAAATTTGTTCTTTTTTATACATGTTTTTACTTACCGTACTGATCACAAACTAATTAATCTTATTATTTTGCAGGGATTTTTCACGCGGGATGCATAAAAGGATCATCTCATCGTTATGATCACGCACGGCGATTGTCTGGATATTCTGATGCCCGCGTGATAATGTCATTAAATAAATTAAATAAATTAAAAATAAAAGAAATTTCCACTACGCTTGTGGTTTGATCATGTGACTTACATAATACTCACTTTTCCAAAATATCATTTCTCTGATCCCATAATACCGACAACCTTATTTCCATCAAGACACCCACTTCTCCAATAGAAGTTTTCACCAATATTTTTTTTTCGACCAAATTAATTTCCGATAACCTAATTCCTTGACATGAAGTATAATAATGGTCTATCGTTTTTAATGTTCAGAGAAATGGTAGCTTCGAATAAATGACCTATCGGGAAAATTTGTTATCGATTAAATGATAGTTCTTGAAAATGAAATACCAAAATTATGTCTTGTCAGTAAAATGGATTGTTGAAGCTTTATCTGAGAGAACTACCTGCAAAAATTCTAACCCGGGAATTACACATGGAATTTGTAAACGCTGATCGACTTCTCAATAAACGAGATCGTATTAATAAATTTAGTCGTTTAGTTTCTTCTCTTCCTTCAGCCAACTATACATTACTTCGGGTATTGACAGATCACTTAATCAGAATTGTACGAAATTCTGAGATTAATAAGATGACCTTACGTAATATTGGGATGACATTTTGTCCTACATTGGGTATCCCACCCGGTGTTTTAAATTTCTTCATTACGGAGTTCGATCACATCTTTACAGATAGTGTTGGTATTGTTGCTCCAAAAACTATAGAAGCAACGCCAAAAAATCACAAAAAAGATTATTACCAATCTTCAACAAATGATTTTTCACCCAAATTCACCTCAAATAATCAACAATTGAAAAATGCCAGTCTGAATAAAGATCCAACTTTACCACCTAAGACTGCTTTACGTGAAGAAATTACAGGCAGAAGTAAGAGAAATGGTGTTTATTATATGGATAATCCTGATCTTATGGTCAGGTTAAAACGGAAGTTGACAGTGGCCAAATCAAGCCTTTGCCGAAATGATGATTCATCAGAGGAAGAAATTAATGATCTCGCTCTTCAGGTTGAGGATGATGCAGAGAGCGTATCATCAGCTTCAGTTGAAGAATTTGTCGCATCCCCACCACCAAATTCTTCAAACTTTTCGTTACCTCCCCGGATACTAGAACCACCGTTTTCTCAGACATTAGCACCATCACTACAATTGCCACAATCAAGTTATTACGAAACCAACTATTACTATTTCAAATAAATTATTAATTTATTTCTAACTACAGTTAACCCTCCATAAATGCACGCATTATGTATACCCTCTATAAATACACACTAATCAAAATGCCCACCGTAAATGTACACCCTTTCTAAATGCACATTTTAAAAATTTACGTACGTACGGAGTGTTGACTGTATATATTTTGTATTATATATTTAAAATAAACAATTTTTAAAGAAAACATGATTTGTAAATCCGTGTGACACAAAATTAGATTAAAATTATTTAAGGTTTGGGTTAGGATCAGTGTTAATTTTGCAATTAAAAGTTACTGTGCGGACACCGCACAATTTGGAAACTTTCTGTACGGCAAATAAAGAAAAACTATTCACAAGCGTGCGCGCTACTTACAAAATGTTAATTTTTCGGTGCGGTATCCGCACATCTGTTCAAAATTTTGTTTCTGTGTGCCGCGCACAGTCCGCACAGCGAAAAATAATTACTGGTTAGGGTATGGTTTATACTAAAATTTTACGTAGAAATTTTTTTGTTAGAACCCCCAAAGCAGTTTATAATCTAAATATTTAAAATAAGTAATCCTCATATAATCCATCATTTCGGTGACAGTTCAAAACTTATAATTTTTATTAACTGAAAATCATATAATACATGCGACTAATTCACATAATGGACTCTATAAACCAAATTAAAATAAAAATTAAATAGGGTATAGCATCATAATGGATGCAATAAACTTGAGTAATTATTCTAAATGCGCCAACAATTAACCATTAATATATATTCATAAATACCAGGTACGTAAATGTTTAAAAATCGATTCACCACAAAGGAAACTGCAGTTTTAAAATATCCCTTACACCGTAAAGGCACAGATATCAATAATTTTAGCTATGCAAAAGTCCTTTCTTATCCCCAAAAAATCATATATCGCTAATATAATAGGTAAAAAATGGCTAAAAGTAAACGAAAATTTATAAGAAACCATATCGATATGCTGACAAAAATGATATTTACAGAGTATCCATTTGTCGATCTTAATAGTAACGCCATATATGAAAATACAATCGATCATACAACGAATCTGATTATATATGATTAAATTTGCCAGAAGCAAGTAACGTTGAAGAATAAAATTTCATCGACTGTTTGCTATACAGATTTTATTACTTTCTATTTGCAAGTTATAAATTTAGGGAACGCCTATTTCCGCCATGGACATTTGCTATTTCCACCATGCTGCCATACTTTCCATACGACTTTCAGTTACATAAACATAACAAGCATATTGTCATGATAAATTACGTCAAATTGGAAATTTTATGCGACATTTCTCAATGTATGTCAATTATTAATTGACGAATGTTATTTTTCAACATACGTTTTTAGGGAACCACCATGAAATCATGCTTATGTAGCTGAAACTCATGTGAAAAGCATGGTGGAAATAGCAAATTTTCATGGTGGAAATAGGCGTTCCCTAAATTTATATAGTAAACAGTTAATGAAATTTTAAAATTTTATTCTTTGATATTACTTGCTTCTTTGCAATCTGATATAATCACGATTTATCATATGATCGATTGCGTTTTCATATAAAAACACTTACTATGTGCAGCCAATAAAATTTCAAAGATCGACAACCAATCAAATGAACCTTCAATCATACTTATTTGCAGAAAGTCTTCAAATTGGCAGTTTGGTCTTCATACAACGCCTATAATTTACGTAAGATCTGCCGGAAAAAAGGGTTACGGACTAACTTCCCGAATTCCATTTTTCTGAAATACCATTTCACCGAAGTCGTAATACCATGTCACTAACAAACAATTCACATTTCACCGACAGTTACTTCACCGACAGCTCATTTTACCGATAAGTTTTCTAAAAATTACACTAACCTTAACTCTAATTCTAAACCTTACATAACAACAATGACCGGAATTACTTTTCGGTGAAATGACTGTTGGTGAATAAACTATCGGTAAATAAACTATCAGTGAAATAAACTTCGGTTATCGGAAATGGGTCTTGTTGAAAAAAAGGGTTATCGGAATTATAGAGTCGGAGAAATAGCATTTCGGAAAGTTGACTTTGGGAAAATGTGCAACAACGTAGTTCGACAAAGTAATTCTGGTCATTGTCGTTAGAGTCAGGTTAGTGTAATCTATAAAAAACTTGTTGGTGAATTACAGCTGTTTTTATAAATTCTGGACACCTGATAAAAAAAATTAGTCGAATGATTTTTCGGCCGATTCGGTTAAGTTATTGATTTCGGTATATAAAAATATATTTTTTGATGTTATGTATGTATGTACAGTACGTACATGTAATACTTATTTAATAGGCACATTCAACGTTATTAAACTTTTGTTGAATATTTGCCAAACGTGTTTGGCGCGTTTAGCTCGTACAAAAATTTATAGAATTGTCAATTAATAAATATTAATAAGAAATATAAAGAGGACACCAGATATAAACTTTATAATAAACATGTTGCACAAATAGATGTCATAATATTAATAAACAGTTAATATATTTTAATTTTTGGAGTTTGCTATTTATTACCACTGGTAATCATCACCAGTATATAATTAACCAATTATTTGCAAGATCAGGTGTAATGTGTAAATTAATTTTGTGTAACAAAACAAAAAATTTTTAAAAAATTAATTGTATCTTAAAAGTTTATCTATGAAACCACCTTTTGGGCCTTAACAAAAAAAATTCCTTGCAAAATTTTACTATAACTTTTGTCTAATCCCAACATTATATTTTCACCCTTATCTTAATATTAAATGAATTAAATTTTTTTTTTTTTGATATTAAGGTGACCCCTTCGGTCAAGTACTTTATTATTGTTTGGATTACTTTTACAACTAGATGATCTATATCTGTTGTACATATATTTCTATATACATAACCTCAATACAATATTATTTTAGTAACTACTTTAGAATAATTTTATTCTTGGGGTAAACCTACTAGAGTCTTCCGTACCCACAATCTGGCTGACCTAGGCTTTAGTTGATACATACAGGCTAAGGTTCGCCACTTGCACCCTAGTTTCCATAGTGGAAGTATTCTCCGGTTGTTTTGTTCTTACCAGTTTTTTCATACCGTTTTAACTAACTATGGTCTAATCATTGCTACACAACCTATTTCTACCTTTATAGAGTTCACCCAAACCCTGATATACATATTACAGACTGTCTACAGTGTCCCCGACTACTCTAAACTACCAATCCAGATAGCCTGGAAGGGCTGTGACCTGCTCTTGGTTTCTCGGTTGGGTCCTTTTCCTCTGATTACTCTTCTAGCAGTCTGGTTGGTTGAGTGCTTGTCAAACACTTCAGTCCTATTCAGTTTTGCCAGTTCTTCTAATGATGATTCTTTACATAGTACTATCAAAAATCTGTGCTACCTCTCTATTCGGGACTTGCCAAGTGAGTGTCCTACCGCCATATCGGCTTTGTAGTTTTTTGCGATCCAAAGATCTATTCGTATAACTCATATATCACACAAATGATCCGAGATCTCCCAGTTTCAATAAATTGGTATGACCACAGTTACAGGGTCTCAAGTTTTCCTGGCTACAACGATAGTTACTGTTATGGAGTTACCCAAACTACCGTGTATTACTTGACTTCTACTATCAGTCTTTAACTCACTTAGCAATTAAACGATGACTGGAATATCGTACCAGATACTATCACCGATAATATACTCACACAGATAACAGTTTA